TTAAGCTACTAGCTACCGTCCAATAAGTTTGCTTTCTTCAATAAGTAAACTTTTAGAAAAGACGAATGCTTCATATCAATACGAACTCAATTTTTGCAGATGAGCAGTTTGGATTTCGCCATGGGCATTCAACTACTCATCAACTCTTAACAGCTACGGATTTAATAAGTTCAAACAAATCTGAAGACTGCTCAACTGGATTTTTCTTCTACACATAGAAAAGTTCTCGAAATTTTCCTGAAGGTCATGGAACTGCCCTTAAATTATCGACAATAATTCATAGCTTTTTCAAATAGACTAGAATTTCATGATGTTATTAAAGCTGTTTAAAAGATTTTAAAATTTCTTTAATTCTCTCCAGACTGCCCTGAATTGCTCAGTATTTGTATAAGTACCCGCAGTTTTACTGAAGTTAATTGAATTGCCTTTAATTTTAAATTTAAATTTAAATTCCCATAGCTTTGTAAATTTCATAAGCACTAACGGAACTTACACGAAAATCACTAATTATCCATGAACTTTTATGGACATCCTTGCAACTTCCTATGCTTCTCTGAGGTCCCCTAAATATTAATAATTCCCTGTTTTCGGATCATTCCAAGAATTCTCGGAATATCCCTTAATTCCACGAGACTTTTTGTAAGGCAAATTTCTTTGATTTAATGGGACTGCTCTGAAGCTATCTGATCGTCTTCGATGTACTCGGGACTTCGCTGGATATCATTAAACTATCTAAATTTCTTTGAAGATCTCTGGAAGTTCTTGAAGATCTTGCATTTTTTTATTAATGGAGCTGCTTGGAACTTCTCTAATAAACTTTGTTGAATTTTCCGTAAATGTTTGAAGCTCTTGAAGTTCCCATGATAATCATATAAAATTCATAAAATACTCACAAATTTTCCTAATGTTAATATAACTTTAAAGTTCTATGCTCTCGGAGATTTGTTGAAAATTCCGGAATTTCCCAGAATTTTTCGAAACTTCTGTAAATATTCTGCAATTTCCTTGAAATTATTTGAACTACCCTTTGCATTCCTCAAGCTCACAACTCTACAATATCTTGGTTTTGCTCTGAACTAAATGGAACTCTCCTCAACACTTTAGAACTTTCCTGAAGTTTTCTGGTCCTCTGTGAAAGTTCCGAAATATTTCTGAAGTTTTCATAATTTCTCAGAAGTTTTAATAAGTTTTCTGAAGGTCTGTATTGCTTGTTTATCGCATTTCAAACTTATCTGTTCTTGATTCACTTCCACAATTATTAATTAAGAGCAGAGCTGGTAAATATCACGGCCTTCATGTGACGATGAGAAAACAGGTCCTCTTACTATCACGAGACGAAATTACCTATCATTAGCTTTCTTGTCATTTTGCAATGATCCAGCACTCATGGGAATAATTCTTATGCGGTTTTGACATCAGCATTTCTAACTGATTTAGATGAATTTAAGCAAGCAACCGTATGTAATTGGTAGAGTGAATATATTATTAAGATTTCCTCGGTACAAGTAGCTTTAATTGTATTAAATGAGTTAGTATTGACGATAATCAAAACGCTGTCACGTTCTGTCATGACAAAAAATTCGATATGATTTTGAAGAAAATCTCTATCGTCGTTTTCTCATCCAATGATAGTGACAGAAGTATCTCTGTAAATATCTTTCATTGAAAATGACATTTGTCAGCCCTGATTGAGAGCTTTCGATGCCTGTACATTTTTTGCATTAGTGTAATTGTGTAGCAAGTACAATCATACTCTATGCCCAGCGAAGTCAAGAAATTGTCCAACCCGAAAAGTTCCTAGACCGAACCGGGATTCGAACCCAGCCACCTCCAGAATGGTCTTGCTTTGTAGCTGCACCTTTACCGACTGAGCTAAGGGAGGTCTCTATACTTCCTGAAGTTCTCGGCACATCTTAAGGGTTCTCGTATTTTTTCCTGGCGAACATAGACCTGTCCTGCATTTATCTAATCTCACGCTTATAGATTTTTAACTCCTTTAAAAGTCTGGACAGCTTCGGGAACTGCCCTTAAGATCTCTGAAATTCACCAAAGATCTCTAGATGTGGCTTTTCTGCGGTACTTGGAACTTCAAAAAAGTTTTCACAAATTCTCTACACATATCTGAACATATTTTGACCCACGTTAAGATCTTTGAATATTCCTGAGATTTCAAGAACCTAAAGTTCTTGTCACTTTTTTAAGCTAATGGAACCGCTTAAAAGTTCATAAGGCTTCAATTAAAATCCCCATATTTTCAAGGCGTTTTGAGAACTTCCCTTATGCTCCCGCAGCTTGTCACTGAAATTCTTAGCATATCCTTTTATTCCGCAGATATTATAGTTCCAATAATTGATATGATCTTAATGCGACTTCACTAAATATCCCTAATATTACATAAAGTTAAAATAAAACTTAAAATACATTACTTATTTTATTTTCTTCTATAATCCTGTCATTTTGAAAATTTTCAATATTTTGACTTGTATTTGAAATACGAAGCTTCAAGAGATTGAAAATTATGCAGGCTTCAACTTTTTTTTAACTAGTTTTTTTATAGTTGAAGATGCTAATTTCAAATAACAGACTGTAGTGGTAATTTTTATACGATAGATGGAGTAGATGAAAGCATAGAGTTGATAGTTCCGTTAGAGTACGGCAGTGTGAAGATTGTATATAGATATTAGAATAGCGAACTAGGACAACTTTTTAAGGAAGGTACAAATCGGTTTTTTCATCTCTCTTTACCAAACTCCCCCTTTGGAGAGGGATGGTGAGGGGTGTTCCCCCCCCCCCCCGCCACCACTGGCAAAAAGAGATGAAAACCGACCCGTTCAAGTACCAACTGTGTGTTTGAAACAGTTCTACCGATTTTTACCGCACTTTAATTGTTATTTGAAGGAAGGCATCCAGTCGTAGGTTTGGAAATTGCAACTATTGTTTACCCCTACCACGATATGTGCTCCTGTCATCGTTGTTATTGTTTAATCAAAAATATTATATGTTTAACGCATTTAAAAGATAGTTTTCTTATTGTAAACCTCCGTTAAAGTTCTGGAAAACTAAGGGAATTTTATATAGCTAAAATAAAAGCCATGAAATTATAGACAAAAATGTCTTCAAGCAAAAATAATAACTAATAAATGTATTCCTAAAGCTTGGTTATAAAAGTTCATCAAAATTGTCGTTTTATTTTCAGGATCTTCAAAAGTGTCGTGAGTTTCAAAAAAATTAAAAAAAAATGGAACAAAAATTTAACACAATTTTTGAAATCATTATCGATGGAACTTAAGCTTCGGTTAAGAACTGACAAAACAAAAGCATTATATTTTTTTAGAAAAAGGGTTGGTAAGTAACAGTTAACTGGATAATAAGCCAGTTGCGCTAATAAGGAAATTCTTATAAAGTTAGTCAAGTAGTCAAAACATATTGGTCATTCCAATACAAGAGTATACAAAGTTTTGGTCAATGTCACCGATTTCAACCAAACTTTTCCAAAATGCTTATTTTGATATTATAAAAAAAAATCTTTTTAGATTTTACTCTTAAGTGCTTCGTTCCTTCTGGGGTACAACCCTAAATTTTTAAGATTTTTAGAAACGATATTTTTTAATAGAGATTACTTTGCAACCAAACAAGTTCTTTGTGTTCTTGACTCTCCATTTTGAAGAGTTTTTAATTTAGAATCAAATAAAATAATCAAAGTTTTATTTGTGTTATTTAACGTATAGTAAAGTGCCAGTGGAGGGTATCCATATTATCTAAAAAGGCCCATTTTCATACCGCGCGGGATTTGTTGTTTTTCAAGATATTGACCTGAAATTCCATTAACATATTAGAAAACTTATCTAATAGATATGGCTAGATGAGTGACAAGAAAATTTTGAGCTCTTCAACCGAAAAATCTCACCCCAGCAGGCCTGGGTTCAATCCCAGTCGGCGCCACCGGGATGTTCTGAGGCATAACATCTCTGATCACGCCTTCCTTCGGATGGGAAGTAAAGCCGTTGGTCCCCGGTTCATGAGTTGATGGGTCGATAGGTAGGGTCCAGGTGTGGGAGCTGCCTTCCTGGCACGTCAGTAGCATTGGTGCTCAGCACGGAAAACAAGATCGACGGAAAAAACAAACCAAAGGAAAAAAAAAAACCGAAAAATCACTAAATTAAATCTTTGAATAGAGATTAATCTGCATCCAAACAAATTATGAATATTCTTTACTAACAATTTTAAAGGGATTTTCATGTAGTTTTCAGTAGTTCAGTAGTTTAGTGTATGTATGTAGATTTGTATTTTTTTTTTCATTTACTACGATTGTTGGTAGGTATCTAAATTATCAATATTTCAGGCCAATAAAATCCACAAATCACGCGGGGTATAACAAGTGGCCTATTTTGATACTATTGATACCTTCTGGAAATCTGGCTCTTTACTGTAATTTAAATATTACAAAAAAGATTACTCTATTTGATTGTACATTCAAACCCCTTCAAAATGGTGAATCTAGAACTCATAGAACTTGTTTGTTCGCGGAGTAATCTCTATTCAAAGATATAATTTATAATACTCTCAAAAATCCAGAGTTGTAGCCCAGAGAGAACCAAGCACTTTAGAGCAAAATCTAAAAAGGCAATTTCATAGAAAATCAAAATATGCATTTCGGCAAATTTTGGACAAACCGATGACATTGACCAAATGGAATGATCCATATAACATTTTTTCCATTATAAACAAACATTTCAAAAGGTCCTATCTGTATTGATCGCTTCTCTTCATCTACTTTCTCTTTCGTTAATAACTCAGCAGCAAAACCTTTCCCTGTTGTATTTGCCGTTTTGAACGCTAGATAAGAACCTCCTTTATCAAACTATTTGGTAAAAATAGCGTGAAATCTGTTTGCATAGCCGTGGTTATCAGAAGAGAAAGTCGATGAAGAGAATCGTTCAAAGCAGATAGGACCTTTTGAAATGTTCATCGAGCATTATTGGGTTGCACTTTAAACTTACATCATCATCCAGCGAAGGATTCCGTTGAACTCCAAGGCGTACCTTGGAGTACTGCTTGACCAACACCCGCCACACGACGTAAGCCATTGCAAGTGTTTCCCCCCAATCGATTCAAGTTGGCATCCGCTTCTACACAGCAATCTTCCAACCAAACTGCTCCGTTCGGAGGTCGTCTCGCACTCACAAATCCAGGCGTGAGTTTCCGTTGGTTGGCTAATCTACGCTCGTTCCAGATTCAAAAACAAAACCCTCGCGCTCCGCTCCAGTCACTGCGAGGTGTATGTGTGTGGATATGATATAGCACAATCGATGGTCGAAAACGGGCTTTTCTTCTGACGGGTATTTTCTTTTTGGCGCGTAACTTCTTCTGCTTTCCACTGGCGGTGCTAATTATTTTCCAATAGGTGTACACACTTTACAATCATGGAGCTTGCCATTTTTTTACGCTTCTATTTTTCTTCCATCCGTTCATCACAGAAATCACTCGGAACGGGCTGCCGACAGGGGTGCACATCCAAATTATCGCCGCCTCGCGTCGTTTTCAAGACAAAAGGAAAAACGGCTATCGCGGGTGCTATTCATAACACACTTATCATAACCTATATTTCCATCAGCGCTAGCCAAGCGTAATTATCGATTTTGATCTATTAATTGTAAGGAAATACACACACACACAAACTACATTCACTATGCACAACAGGAACGTGAAATAGGAAACACACAGATTAACATCTACCACAGTGATTTTTTAATTTTTTTTTTTCACACTTGTTAAGCTACCTCTTTCTTCCTAAATTCGCACATTATCGACGGATTCTCGGAATGTTGGGACCACACCCAATTCGATTCGTCTCACTCTAGCCGGTAGCTTGATTGAATCAGGTTGGCTCCATTCAGCGGTATTTAAAGAAGCCTTCCTATTATTCAATAATTTCTTCACTGTTTTGGGTCGTATTTATCTCTCCAATTCAACTATTCCTTCCGACAATTTTCTTTACCACTGATTGCTGCACTGACCCCCAAAAAAACAAGCGATAACGGGCAACCTGTTAACAGAGATCGCTTCAAACGCACACATACTTTTCCACTATTTCAAACTAAAATCCTAGAACACTGCCCACTTTTCACTATTTAATCATAATCCAAAGAACACACGTGCGCGAGTCAACCGTCATTTCAGACGTCGTCGTCGTCATCGTCGCCGTCACCACCCCAGCAGAACACGCGCGTCGAATCACCAATCAAGCTGAAGTGCGCCCACCCAACAACGCGGATCAAGGCGAAGCGCACCTGGTTCGTGGAGTAGCGCTTGTTGTTACTTTTCCTACGGCAGGTTGCACACTGGGAGTGAATCCGACAAAGTGGTACCGGTGAACCTACGCGCGCGATATGCGAGGTGCTCTCTCTCTCTCTTGGAGAGACTGTCTGAGGCACGTGGTGGCAGCTCCGAATCCAACGGTTCATTGCCTACCACTGTTTGGAAGTTGGTATTGGACTACAATGCTTCTTGTTTTGTTCGGAGAGCTTTGTTTTGGTTCACTATTTTGCTCAACCAGCTGAGCTGGCGCGTAGAGCAATAATGTTTCATTTTTGCTAGATGGTTGTTTTTTGAAAATTTATCCATAGGTTCCCATTGCTGAGCGGATGCAGAGTCGAGCGTAAGAGATTGAGAGGAAACCGATTCGCCAATAGGTAACAAGCGAGGTAGCGAAGTGCCTCCGGCGATAGATGGTACGGTTAAACTTGATGTTGAGGTGATAGGTAGCAAGGAAATTAGCTACGTTGCGTGATTTTCGATGCAAGAACTAGGTGGAGATATAATTTCCGACTAGTGAGCCAAGTTTAGTTGCATAATCAAATTGGAGACAAATGCAAAGCCAGTGTCGCGGGCATGGTTAGATTCAGATCAATGGTTGCGGGGAATAAGAAGACTTTTGAAATAAATTCGGAGTAAGCCATTGGCAGCAAGTTTTAAAATTGAAGCAAGACAGTCTGTTCCCCATTTCCTAACCAATTTCTTCTTGTCGATTAGATATGTCCCAACGAGAACTGATAAGTTTTAACAATTCCACTTTTATTAATAATGATTCTGAAGTCTTTCCCTTGATTTGTTTCACGTCGATCTTGTTTTCCGTGCTTAGCACCAATGCTACCGACGCCAGGGAGGCAGCATTCAAACCTGGACCCTAACTATCGACTCATCAACTCATGAACCGGGGACCAACGGCAGAGATATTATGCCTCAGAACATCCCGGCGGTGCCGACTGGGATTGAACCCTGGCCTGCTGGGATGAGAGGTAATCATGCTTACCACTACACCACTGGCGTCGCTCCTGATTCTGAAGTCTGAAGCCATTCAAAATGTTTTATGTAAATGGGAATTCCAGCTCAAGTGTATGGAAAGTTGTGGTCAATTTCACCGATTTCAACTAAACTTTGCCAAAATTCTTATGTTGATATTCTAAGTAAACACCTTTTTTGATTTTGCTCTAAAATGCTTCGTTCCCTCTGAGTACTCCGCAACTAAGGGTTAGCTCACTCTACACAGTGTGTCAAAATCAAACTTGGGCACACCCGGGTGCAGTCATTGGCGTTGTTTGGCACTCATGGCTACAATTATTATGATCTTTAAAGTTACTGGCAACACTGAACTTTTTCTGCGCCTGTGTCAAAACTTGTTATTGATGTTCCCACAATATAATCAAATTATTATCAAACAAACCGTGAATCGTAGGTTATCCGCACCCATTCAAACACACATGGGCCGGGACCAACGGCTTACCCAACAAACAATCGTCTATTGAAGAAACGACTTCTTGACGATTTTATTCTACTGCATGCTTTATACTACTTGCATTATTTTTAATAATAACTTCTGTTCAGGCTTTGTTCACACAAATCTGGAGAATTTATTAAACCACAACAAATTGAACTATTGGTATTGAAGCTGTTATTCTACATATATTTATATGAGTTGCAGCAACAGAGCTTTGTTCGATAACATTTTTGATTACTCAGCGATTATTAGACATCACTGCTTGCCCTTAATTAAAACTGTGATGCTCGTTATATGCTTGATTCTCATGTGAAGTAACATTTAATGAGACATTATCATACATTTATTAAACGATTATTCAACTGTGGAAAATTAACCCGAAAATAAGAGAGACCCCCCCCTGAATGGGTGCTAGTTATTCTTTAGTAGTGATTGTTTTCATAATTCCTGACGTGGCACGTACCACACAGATGTTAGGAAATGAATTACATACATACATATACATGTCGTTGTATGGGATTCGAACCATGGACCTTCCGTTCACCAGCCGCTTGCCTTGTCATCTGAGCTATCCTAGAATTCATCATAAGTGCAGCTCAATAATCAATAAAAGCTTGCTTGAAAGTGAATACCTATCAGCACTCCCGATCGCAACTCTAGCTCCTTCAAAGCCCTGTGAGAATGATTAATTTTTTCATCTTTACATGAGACCAATGTTACCTTTCACCTCATCAATTCCAAGGAAAGGATGCTCGGTTTTTTTGTGATCGATGATTACTATTTAAATTAATTAGGCTTATAACACAAATAAAAAAAGGGTTGAGCTTGGGATTGAACTCACGACCTTCTACTTGGAAAGCGAAAACGGTAACCACTTCTCTACTGATTTCGTCTTGTTGTTAGATTGAATCAGTGTTGTCAAATAATGAATATTATAAAGCATTTACAAGTTATGCGATTAAAACATGGACGCATAGTGGTATAAGAGCTATTATGCTGACTGTATCCACATTTATTCAGCAATATTGTAAAGCAATGCAATGAAATCTAATAATGGAGCTAGAAAACATTTATTAGACGTATGTTATTAAAGCAATTGAAAACAGGCGAATTAAAGCGTCAATGTACGTGAAAATTACACTTTTTCAGTTTGTTATTAGATACTCAAGTAACAATTTGATGCTTAACAAGTGTTGTTCAATCGATGTTAGTTCAGCCTTAATTTGAATAATTGTTGTACATAGACCACGTTAACCTTTGTTAAACATCTAAATCTGGTGATTTTAATCAGCCGAAAGCTTAACAGTTATATAAATTATAAGCTTTTTAAGGCATTAAATAACAGTCTTCTCCAACCCTTGTTCAGCCTTCTAGTTCTATTTAGAAAAAAAAAATAATAATGGAAGACCGCTTCATATCTTATATATTTTTATGGGACTGCAGCAAGGTGCTGATTTAATGGATGTACATATTTGTATTGTTATTATAAGTCTAAAAATTACCATTGCATTTCGGGATTCGAACCGGCAGTCGTTGATTCACAGGCATCAATCATACCTACTGGACCACTCAAGCATATGTGTGGCAAAAGGTATGATCTTAATGATGAAACACGTCAAATTTAAGTTGAATTACAGCAACCGGAAGAGTATTATACAGCAATGCAGAATTGTAAACAACAATTGTCGACAGTATAATATTCCTCTCATTTTCAAGTGTAGTGAACACAATGTGGACACAAGTGCCCGATTTATTTCGATGTTCATGTGGAAGCTATTTAAGTGCCATAATTGAGTTTTTATTTGGAATGCTGTATGAAAATTCAGTGCAATATAGCAAGAAATACAAATGTTAATACTTCCTACGTCGTCGCAGCCCACTTCTACCAGCAGCTATTCCTAAAAAGCTCCTCTACCTTGTATCTACTTCAGCCACTGCTTGGGATTAGAAAGGTAGGCAGTGAATTTAGTAGAGCTAAAATGCCGGAAATGCAACGAGCTATCAAAATATTTGTAGTGCATTGCTGATTTGTGGAGTAGTGTTAAGCTAAATTAAGGCTTGTTCAATCTTTAGATCAGCTAACTTATTGAGGTTGAATTATGGGGATACAATTAGCTTCATACACTACTAATCAACTATATATTCAGCTTGCTGTTAATCAGCTTTGTACACCTTAAATCAACCAATAATCAGCCTTTGTTCTTACTGTTCAGCTTGAATTGTTACTTGGGAACTTCTGGCGTTGAATTGTGAAGACAGTCATCGTTCATACAGCTTTTAATACGAAAATTAATCAGATCAGAGCAAACAGTGGAATATATGTGCATCTTTTGATCTGAATGAGCTTTTTTCAGCAAATAATTTGACAACTCGTTTTATTCACCATTGTACACTTTTATACAGCATTTATTCAATATGTATGCTTATTTGTGACTCTGAACTGTTTGTTGGGTTACTTCCCTTCCGAAGGAAGACGTGACCAGAGATTTGCATACCTCAGAAAAAATCCCACCGATCGGCTGGGATTGAACCCAGACCCATTGGGGTGAGAAAACAGCCACGGTTACCACTACACCTCCGGCGCCGGCAATCGGAAAGTCAACAACCAGACAAAAACTATACCATCCGACCATTCGAACTGCTCGAATACATCCATGGCGGTGGCTGCGGTGGCTGCTACACCATGTTCGAGGACCGTCTTGGCAAAATTTCAAATATGTATGTTTACTCTCCTACCTTTTTGCACTTCCAACTAACACAATAAGAAATGTATAATTACGAATCATAACATTAACTATACAGAAAAAGGAAAATCCTTCCTCTTCTCAGAAAAAGAAGCTTCCGCTTTTTCCAAGCGTGTTTCCGATGTTCTCGTTGCTCCAAGCACCGTTCATCTGCTTGGAGGAGGAGAATCACAGCTTCATAATGAACGGGAATTTTGTGCATTTGTGATCGATCGCGGTGTGGTTGCACTTCATGATGGCGTTCACCGCTAGGGTTACGCTCGGGAACTCGACCAATCCGGAGGAGGAACTTTCCGATTTCAGCGGGAATATTCGCACTTGCGACGGATGGCACTCCTTGGTGGTGAATCCAGTCAGCAACAGATCCTCGGACGGCATATGGGTGGGGTATTGAAGAAGTGGAGAATACAATTTTTGCTGGCCTGGGAAACGATTGTTCTTGGAGGTGCTGTACACCTTGAAGCTGATCGAATTGTTCGGCAGGGTGTACGACTGGTGGACTCTGACAAGTAGTTCTGATTGGAAAATGCAATTTGAATTTTGCTACCATTATTTCCATTCATTCAATGTTTTTCAAGTGCTGGATGCTGCGTTCGACTGGTTTGGTCTTCAGGAACTTTATCCTGACAACAAAACCAGATACAGACGGCATTGGGTACCATTTAAGTAAGGATTTTGGACGTACAATCGAATGGTATGATCAGATTTTTTTTCAGTGTTGTCAGCTTTGCGATGTTTGCATTTGAAAATTTTAAATGCAAATATCCCCAAATGCCTTCATTTTTTTCCAGA